GTGTGAGTGTATGTATATGTGTATGTTTATGTGTGTGTGTGAGTGTGTGTGTGTGTGAGAGAGAGAGAGAGAGAGAGTGTGTGAGTGTATGTATATGTGTATGTTTGTGTGTGTGTGTGTGAGAGAGAGAGAGTGTGTGCGCCTTTGGCAAGTGGGACAGGACTGCTCCCTGGAGCGGACACACGACTGTAGGCCCATTGAGCTTGTCAAGTCTCCATCAGTCTTCTGCTTCATCGTTTTGAAAATGTGACCCTGAGGTTTTCTGCCTCAACAAATCACTGCAAATATGTCGGTGAGGGGGGTGATGGTGGTGAGTTTATGACTTGACAGCGCTGGGAACTCCAGGTAATTTGACCTGACAAGTGTGCAACTGTGATAACAAGGTGTAGAGCTGGATGAACACAGCAGGCCAAGCAGCATCAGAGAAGCAGGAAGGCTGACGTTTCCGGCCTAGACCCTTCTTCAGAAAATTTTCTGGCTGAGGATTCTGCGGCTGGTTCATAAGAAGAGAGCAGCGCACGTTGCAGAGGACGATCAACAGTTCACCCAAGCTGCTTTTTCTGCCACCATGTCTGATTTAGGCTCAGGAGGTGGAGAATTCAACTGAACTGAACAGAACAGAGGGTGATTGAGGAAAAGGAGACCCAGCTGCGCCACCCCCACCCTCCCTCTGTTATTAGTCAGCGATGGCCTAGTGGTATTATTGCTAGACTGTTAATCCAGAGCCCTAGGTAATGTTCTGGGGACACAGGCTCGAATCCCATCATGGCAGATGGTGGAATTTGAATCCAATAAAAATCTGGGATGAAGGCTCTAATGGATGACCGTGATTCCATTGTCAATTGTCAGAAAAGCCCATCTGGTTCACTAATGCCCTTTGAGGAAGAAAACTGCCAGCCTGACCTGGTCTGGCCTACATGTGACTCCTGACCCACAGCAAAGTGCCCTCTGGGCAATTAGGAAAGGACAATAAATACTGGTCTAGCCAGAGAGACCCTTATCGCGTGAGTGAATAAAACAAAAGACCAGTCAAAAATACTGACATCTTGAGTAGACCAATAATGGGAGGCCCAAGGGGATCTGCTGTGCTCTGGTCAGTGGGCAGGGGGGGTGGGTGCTGTGCTAGGTTTGGGAGCCAGGGGGCAGCACTGGGGTCTGTGATGTCCATCCTGGCTGCTGTTATTGGGGAGATTTACCCAGGGAGCTTACATTCGGGGCAGCAGAGGAGAGGAAAGGGAAGACTGATCAAGCCCCATTAAGGCAGTGAGAGAAAGCTAAGATATCAATAAAAGCCGATGTCCCTGAATGGGGCTGTTTACGTGTTTGACTGCTTGAGTTTTTGACCTATGGTCTGTCATGGGTGTGAATCACAATTACTGTGATTGGGATCCAGAATTCCTTTTACTTTTGGATGGAGTGTGCAGAGAAATCTGTCCATTCTGCTCAGTTTTTGTTTCTGAGAAAAAAAAACACTTACTCTGCAAACAGAGGCCATCTGTGCAGTTTTTGGATTCCAGAACAGGGCCAATGCAATCCTTGCCTCCATTTCTGGGTGAGGGCTCGGTGCACTCACGGCTCCTCCAGTGGGTGCACTCGGTACTGCAGGCTGACCATTTGCTCCAATCTGTCCAGCCACCATCAACTGCATTTCACCAGAAAGGACAAAGAGAAGAATGACTGGGGGCCCCAGTGAAAGCTAGATTTGCTCAAACAATGTACATACAATGACATTTTTGCAGAGAAAGGCCATTCAGCCCCAACTGGTCATGCTCGCGCTTATTTTCCACAATCTGTATCCTGCCACTCTTCTTCATCTAACCTCCCCCCATCCCCAATTTTCTCTCATGTACCAATCTGGCTTTCCCATAAATGCACTGACACTGGTCACCTCAGCTGCTGCATGTGAAAGCAAGTTCCTCATTCTCATAAAGGACCTAGAGGATGTGTATTGAAAGATTTACAAGGACGGTACAAGAATTGAGACAGCGTAATGATTAGGAAAGGCAGAACAGGCTCTTTCCCCTCGAAAGGAGAAGGTTGAGAGATGAGCAAGTGAAGGAGGTTTAAAACAATGAAGGGGTTTGATAGTGTGGGTGTAGAGGAGGTGTTTACACTTTTGGGAGTATCCATGGGGCCAGAAATATAAGACAGTCATGAAAAAACCCAATAAGGAATTTAGGAAAAACTCCATTATCCACAGAGTGGTAGCAAGTTCAGTTCCCATCCAACTAGAAACGAATCTAGAGAGCACTGTAGGAAGAGAGAGATAAACTCTTTCTGGCAGCAGGAATCAGAATGGCCAGTTCAAGACAGCTGGGCAAAAAAAAGGGCAATATATGATCGTAAAGGGGATAAGTTTGCAGTTTTGTCAGAAAGGACAGGGGCAAGGAACTTATTGGTTCAGACAGCTAGAATATCCATGATGGGCCGAATATACTCTTCTCTGATACATGACTTTAAGTCAACAACCTCATCAGACACAAAAACTAAGTTGCTGGAAAAGCTCAGCAGGTCTGGCAGCATCTGTGAAGGAGAAAACAGAGTTAACGCTTCGGTCCGGTGACGCTTCCTAGACACCGTCAGTCACAACTTGGTTGGTTTACCCTCACAGACAAGAAACTGAACTAGACCAACCATACCAGTCCTCTGGCCATAATACCAGGTCTGAGGATGGTGAATCCAATGATTTTGTAGCCTGCCACTCTTCTTCATCCAACTCTTCCAATTTCCCTTCACAAAGCCCTCACTCTTCCATTTTGTGTCAGAATCCAAAATTTCCCAGCGATTCACTTACGTTGTGTCTCTCCAAAACCTGTCCATCCTCCCCCCGAGTCAGGAGTGTGATGGAATACTCCCTACTTGCCTGGATGGGTGTAACCAAGAGCTTGGCACCATTCAGTACAAAGCAGCCTGCTTGATGGCCACCCACCCACCACCTACAACATCCACTCCCTCTATCACTCACCCTCAGTAGCAGCAATTTGTACCATCTACAAGATGCACTGCCACAATTTGCCAAGACTCCATCTGACATCACCTTCCCAAACCTTAACACCTACCAGTATCTCTGTGGATGCACCCACGCCACATGGGTAGTAGCAGTTCAAAAAGGCAGCTGAGTACCACCTTCCCAAGGGCAATTACAGACGGTATCTTTAATAAATGGTATCTTTACCAGCAAAGCCAACATCTCACGAAAGAATATAGAAAAAAAGGACCATTTTTGAATATGGCTATTATATTGCATAAAGGGGAAGGGTGGGACAATTATTATAGATTCTGATATGACTATAATTCCTCTGAAACAGAGTTAGTGTTTATTAGAAGCATAAAAAATATTATTCAGCCTTTCAAAGATAGTAAGAACCGCCGATGCTGGAGTCTGAGATAACAGGGTGTGGAGCTGGATGAACACAGCAGGCCAGGCAGGATCAGAGGAGCAGGGAAGCTGACGTTTCAGGTCGGGACCCTTTGAAGCCTGCTCTGCCATTGCATATGATCACGGACGAGCTTCCAACTCAGTAACAAAAACACAAGTTGCTGGAAAAGCTCAGCAGGTCTGGCAGCATCGTGGTAGGGAAGTCAGAGTTAACGTTTCAGGACAAGTGACTCTTCCTTAGAACTTTTCATCCAACTCAGTCCTCGGTTCCTGCTTTCGCCCCATCCCCTTTACCCCGAAGAACTATAAGTAACTCCTCCCTGAAACCATTTAATGTTTTAACAAGCTGTTTTTATTTATTGCGAGCAGCGTCAGGCCTGTGGCACACCGCTGTTCCTCCTCTCCGCTCACCTGGGCACATGGTGGTGCAGCCAATCTTCTGAAAGGTTTGACCTTCGCAGAAGGCCCCGCCATTGAGCGGTGCCGGGTTGGTGCATGTCCTCGTCCGTTTCTGCCAGCCCCGGCCACAGCGCGTGTTACATGAAGACCACTCTGTCCAGGTTGACCAGCCGCCGTTCACTGCAGTGGGAGGGGGAAGGCGAGAGAAAAATCACGCCAAGAGACAGTCATCAGCAAGAAATGTTGATGGGTAACAGCTCGCCCATCCTAAATCTGAAAATAATTATATAAATCCACCGACACAATATTTCCTGAAGCTGTTCGAATTGGCTGCTCAGCTATCTCCTTTTTCAACTTGAACCATTCAACAACAAACAAGTGCAAACCTCCTTCGCAAAATGATACTTTCTAAAATAAACCTACAGCCAAGGTCATTATTATTCAAGTGTCATCTTCGATGTAGGAGTTTTAGAGAGGATGAGGCCATTCAACCCCTTTCTCTGCTCAGCAATTTAACTCCTTTGTGGTTGACTGGAAGATGAACTCCCACGTTGCTCCTGCATCCTGCAATTACCCTTGCTTAGCAAAGATATTTATCTGTCTCCGTTTCCAAATTTCCAGTCGACGCTCAACAGCAGTGACTTTTTGAAGGAGGACGTTCCTGAATTTGGGAGCAGACTCTTCCCTGACATCACTCTGGAATGACCCGGCTGTAATTTCACCGCGTTTGCCTCTTGCTCTGAGCTTCCCAAATCAGAATAAACGCAGGTATGGAACAGCACAGAAACAGGCACTCATTCAACTCAACTATGCCGACCAGATATCCTAAATTAATCTAGTCCCATTTGCCAGCGTTTGGCCCATATCCCTCTAAACCCTTCCTATTCATACACCCATCCAGATGCCTCTTAAATGTTGTAATTGTACCAACCTCCACCTCTTTCTCTGGTAACCCATTCCATACACGCACCACACTCTGTGTGGAAAAGTGTCCCTTAGGTCCCTTTTAAATCTTTCCCCTCTCACCTTAAACCTATGCCCTCTAGTTTTGGACTCCGCCACCCTGGGAAAAAGACCTTGGCTATTCATCCTATCCATGCCCCTCACGATTTTATAAACCTCTATAAGGTCACCCCTCAGCCTCCGAGGCTCCAGGGAAAATAACCCCAGCCTATTCAGCCTCTCCCTACAGCTCAAACCCTCCAAACCTGACAACATCCTTGTAAGTCTCTTCTGAACCCTTTAAAGTTTAACAACATCCTTCCTGTAGCAGGGAGACTAGAATTGAATGCAGCATTCCAAAAGTGGCCAAACCAATGTTCTGTACAGCTGCAACAGGCATCCCAACTCCTGAACTCAAGGCACTGACCACTAAAGATATGAACAGCATGGAAGCAGGCTGTTCGGCCCAACAAATCCATGTTGGTTTACACTACAAAAGTCGACAATAGTTCCACAGAACCATAAGCCCAGCTTTTTATTCCAGAACAGAAAAAACTGAAAGAACTGCAGGTGCTGGAAATCAGAATCAAAAACAGAAATTGCTGGAGGAACTCAGCAGGGCTGACAGCATCTGTGGAGAGAAAGCCAAGTTAATGTTGCGGTTCTGAAGAGTAGTCAGCGGACCTGAAACGTTAACCCTGATTTCTCGCCACAGATGCTGCCAGGCCAGCTGAGATTTTCAAATTTCACCATCTTGTCTTGGTGAGACTTGAACCTAAGTTCCCAGGAAAAGAAAAAGGTTAGCCTGGGTTTACTTAATTACTAGTGACATCAATACGACACCACCACTTCATACTCTCAAAATCATTGACTCAGAAATAGTTTCTAGCTACCCGATCTTTCTCTTCAAAGCCTCATTATCTGTCTACTGGGACAACGAGAGTTACTAACATCCACACGTTATATATGGGTCTGAAAGAGTTAATACTGAGTTGAGCCAGCACCAAAAATGACCACATCATTTGGACTAGTGGGAACAATGGCTTAGGATCCCGGAGAGAGCTAAGGACTTCCTCAATCTCAGTGACAATAGCTGCCATATCACTGTGACTTGAAGCTTGTTGCTAATATGCAACAACCTACATCTTGTTCAATCCAAGATTCTGTTCTAGTTGGAGCGGAAGTGATTTTCTTCTGCCACGCTAGATCAAGCAGGGTCTGTGCATCTCTCTACTCAACGAGGACGTTAGCAGCAAACCTACCACACAGATTGGTGTATGAGCTGTACATACAATGTACTTGGCCTTTTCAGGGGAACAGAATCAGCTCTGAGTCAGGGATCAACTGGATGGTGTCGGTGGCTCAGAAACATAAGGTCTGTTATTGAGTCAACCCTGGCATTTCCCATGATCAATGATCAATCTGCAAATATTTGTAAGGCCACATTTTGCATAGAATTTCTGAGAGAGAGAGACAGAGAGACAGGCAATCCAGGCCAACTACTCTGTCTGGTGTTTAAACACCATGCAAGACTCCCCTCATTCCATCCAACTCACCTTAACCTTTAATGAAATCTTTCTATTCCTTTTTCTCTCATGTTCTTATCCTATTAAAGCAGCCAAGCCATTAACCACATGGGATTCCTATGGTAGCAAGTTCCACATTCTAACCACTCCCTACATATGGGTATTTCTCACTATTTCTTCATTCAATTGATTAGTAACCACCTTGTATTTATGCTTATTTTGTACCTATCACACTCACAATGGTGCTAAACCTACTGCTTCTGGCTCTTTCTCGAGAGCAGAGATAATCCCCAGTTTTACTCCCCTCCAAATCCTCTCCTGAAACCCCAAACCCCTGACCCACCTTCACCTCTGATTTTCATCAAGTCTGACTGTATGCATTGAAATCTGCTGCTTTGCCCCCACTTCCATCGTGCCATTAAACACCCCCTTCACTCCACATTCCCCCAGCCCTGGTCTCCACAAGATAAATGAAGTACAGATCTTTAAATTTGTCATCAAAAACTGCAGATAAAAAGGTCCAAATGGAATCTGTATCACGGGTTAAGCACTGTGAAGGAACAAGGTGCAATTATACTGGCACCATTAAATCTGTAAGCCTGGGAATTGTTGGGTGTGAAATTACAGTAACAACATTTTAATGAAATCTCTTTGCGCCCAGTTTTAAAGGTAATGTTGTCTTATTTTGCACTAGAATAGCAGACAGTGTAAAATCAGACATTTCTACTGTTCTCTCCCATTCCTGTAACTCTTCCCCCTCCTCATGAATTAATGGACAAGGGGTTATTTACAGCCCAAGAGTGATCAGCGGGTTAGAATTTTTGCAGGACTCTTGGGACTGACACAGTTCTGATGTTAAAGCTGCACGAAACAGGACAAAAAGCCAAGTGCACATTTCACAGAACCCCTACAGTGTGGAAGCAGGCCATTCAGCCCATTGGGTACATGCCAACCCTCTGAACAGCATCCCACCCAGACCCAACCTCCTGGCCTATCCCTGTAATCCTGCATTTCCCATGGCTAACCCACCTAGTCTGCACATTACAGGGCAAATTAGCATGGCCAATCCACCTAACCTGCACATCTTTGGATTGTGGAAGGAAACCACAGCGCCCTAAAGAAACCCACACAGACACGGGGAGAACATGCAAACTCCACACTGTCACCTGAGGGTGGAATTGAACCTGGGTCCCTGGCACTGTGAGGTAGCAGCATTAACCACTGAGCCACAGTACCACCCCATTTCATTGAAGTAATAAATATATGGCTTTCCCCACAATAATGCCGGATGTGGTTAACCCAGCTCACCGTTCACCTGAAATATTTGGCCCAAGCATTGGAAAAGGGCGATGGAGCCCCCTCACACTTTCCCTGTCGATGAGCATAAAGCAGTTGTTGGATGATTTGATTTGATTTATTTGTTTTCCTGTGCATTTTGTTACAACATACAGTGAAAATAGTTGAACATTCAGAGACAGCACTGTGGGATGGAGCAGCTTTTGAGAGGCCATAACACCATTAAGATACAGGAGCAGAATTAGGCCATTTGGCCCATTGAGTCTGCTCTACCATTCGATCATGACTGATATATTTCTCAACCCCGTTCTCCTGCCTTCTCCCCATAACCTTTGATTCCCCCTTTAATAATCACGATCCTATCTATTTTGGTCTTAAAGATACTCAATGACTTGTCCCCACAGCCCTCTGTGGCAATGAGATCCACAGAGTCACCACCCTCTGTCTGAAGAAATTCCTCCTCATCTAAAGGGTTGTCCCTTCACTCTGAGGCTGTGCCCTCAGGCAGAAACAGTTTCTCCAGGTCCATTTTGTAGCCAAAAGTCCCCTTGCTTACCGTATACCACCACAGTAGCCGTGGTGCTACGCCTCTTGGCCACTATGTTCTTGGCTACACATGTATAGTTTGCCGTATCAGAGAGGCGGGCCTGTTTGATGATCAGGTTGTGGTCGATGGTGAGGAGGAAGTTCGAATCTTGGACTGGATTGATAACTTCATCGTTTTTTAGCCATTCCACCTGCATAAGGTAAGGAGGGAGTGGAAATGAATGGTAGCATCTCTAGGAGCCACTGTCCCTGATACTGATAGCACTGTTATCAATTACATTGGTAATCATATAAAACTGATGAAGCAACTTATGGATATAGCCAAAACCTACAAATTCACAAATGGACTTGCCTGAGTTGTATCCTAAAAGCTCCCAGGTAAGAAGAGACAGATGCGAATATATTTTCACCCATTGGTATGAGGCATCAAACATAGCAGCACCCAAAATAGAAGCAGGAATAAGCCATTCAGGCCTTCAAAACTAGATTGTGGCTGAGCCTCTACTTCAATTGCATTTCCCTGCACTATCCCCATATCCTCTGATGTCTGTAGAAATATGGAAAATAGGGAGGGGAATAATTCACTCACTCCTTCAAATGTGATCCACCATTCAACTGGATCACAAGTGGCCACTCTGTGCTGCATGGAGAATGTGTGATTGGTCGACTCTTGGACGTTGCCCTGATTTTCAAAAGGACAGATAAGAGGGAGGGACACACAGAAACAAACACTGAAATTTTCAAATGCAACCAGGACTCTCAAGATGAAGAAATCCTTGTGCATGTTGGCCTTCGCTTGGAGGGTTGGCACAGTGTTTAACACTGCTGCCTCACAGCAGCACGGACCCAGGTTTGATTCCAGCCTTGGCTGACTTTAGACCTCTCGGTTTAAGACTCCTCAAGGTAAGAGAAATACATCAGGAAATGCATCGTTATTTCTTCCTTCTATGTTCTTGATAGTCAGGGAAGTATAATGGCACACAGGTTATGGCACGGTGGCTCAGTGGTTAGCACTGTCCCCTCACAGCGCCAGGGACCTGGGTTTGATTCCACCCTCCCTGGGTGACTTGTCTGTGTTGAGACTGCATATTGTCCCCGTTTCTGCGTGGGTTTCCTCTGGGTGCTCCAGTTTCCTCCCACTGTCCAAAGGTGTGCATGATTGGCCATGCTAAACTGCCCCATAGTGTCCAGAGTTATGAGGGCTGGGGGGATTAGCCATGGTTAATCTGGGGCTATGGGGATAGGGAGGTGGAGTGAGTCTGGGTAGGATGCTTTTCAGAGTGCAGACTTGATGGAATGGTCTCTGTGCACTGTAGGGATTCTTTAGCAAAACCTCAAGGCAAATCAATAACTCCCCCAATTACAACATTCAGAGGGCAGGTTTCGCTTAGATACAGTGACAATGTTGTCAAACAACCTCACAGGTTTACCTCAATCACCGTTTCTCTGCTATTTTTCCCCCCAGTGTTATTCACTCCATAAGATTTAAAGATATCATTTCAGGGTTGTGATTACTAAATAATACTCGCTGCTGGGTTGTCTGTTCGACAGCTCCCAGGGAAATTCAGCAAAGCATGCAACTTAATCTATGAAGGGCAAACAATCACTGAATCCAGAGGCAGAGAAGGAAGCTCAGTAAGCAGAATTTTATTTTCATTAGGTTTAATGCATTTCTAATTAATTTGTTTCTTTTCACAAAGTTACAAGTGTTCACTGATTAATCGCCCTGACCTCAGAGGTTTTTTATCCCCTTTAATCTTCTCTCGCTACATTGACTCTTATTAAAATGTGCGTTAATAAAACTGGACCCATTTAACATATTCTTTCTCATGCATAAAGGTCTTGTCTTTTTGGAATTTACCTTTTGAATGATACTGCGCCTTGACATTCTAACCTAGCAATGTCTACAAGGCTGGGCTAGGAAGCAGTTGAGAAATATTTAACAGTAATGGGGCGGGTTTAAGAATAAATTGAATGATTTGTCAATAGCCTGGTTCAGTGCAAGTCAGCTCAGATCTTGTAACACACCAAAACTGATCTATGAAACAGCAGCATGTACAGCTTTTTATGTTAAGTGCTACTTTCAGGAACCTTGTAATGCCTAGTAATTGACAAAAGCGAAGCAAAGCTCTCCCAGGACACCTTATGACAAGCATCAGCCTGAAACTAAAGATATCCTTTTGGAGACAGCTCGCATTTTGATACAGGGTTTTGCAGGGGAAGGTGGTCAGGGGACGGTGCGAGACAGGGCACGTGGTGATGGGGGTGAAACTGGCCATTTACTCAGAAATAAATGTGCCACCTCTAACCTCAGACAAATCCTCCATTTCTGAGCAATCACACAGGAAAATGGAGCTCTGAATTCTTTTCCCATCATTTTCACTCTTGGAATTGATAAAGTGAGAGACAGCACTCAGGTCTGGATTTGGGAACCTGCTCATTCTGAACGGATCAACCTCTTCTCACAAACGTTTCACAAACGTGTGCTCGCTAGCAACAGTAAGTGCTCCTCCCTGGCATGTGGGTCTTGATTTAACATGGGCATTAAAATAAAGTCAGTGGGGAACTCTTGGCAGTTCACTACTCGTGTCCAGGGTCAAACACCATTCAGATACTTGTCCAGTGATTTGGGATTGTCACTGAGTTCTTTCCAAGCTGTGTTTACGCTCCACGTAAACCTCACTCCACTCTCCTTTACTGCAACCCACCTGCAATATCTTTCTATTCCTCTCTCCCACATGTTAATATCCAGTTTCCCCTTCAATGCATCCATTCTGTTATCTTTACCACCGAATGTTGCAGCAAGTTACAAATTCCCATCAGTCTATGGGTCAGGAACTATCTCTCTGAATTATCCCAAGGTTTCAGTGACTGACTTAGTAATGACCCACTAATTTTAGACTCGCTCACACTTGGCAGCATTTGCTCGACATATATCTCATCAAACCTTTTCACAACCTCGATCAAGTCAAACTATCCCCCCCAACGCTCCCTCTAAACTGCCCCCGAGGTTCCACAAATGCCGGTTGGACTTCTGGCTCATTGGCTTCTGGTTTCAGACATCAATATTGTGCATGGACTTCAGAGGTCTGTCTACTGGGAAAGTAAAATTGAAGGAGTATTGCCCTCCCCGGGCTTGTAATTTCAAAAGGATAAGGGGTCGGTCTTTTAGGACAGAGACGAAGAGGAATTTTGTCACCGAGAGAATAGTGAACCAGTGGAGTTCTCTGCCACAGGAAACTACTGAGACCAAGGCATTGAAGACTTTCAAGAAAGATGTAGATATAGTTCTTTGGATCAAAGGGATTAAAGGCTATGGGGAGAAAGCAGAATTAGGGAAATGAGATGGGCCATAATGGTAGAGCGGGCCTGAAGGTTTACTCCTGCTCCTATATTCTCTGTCTGTATGTGTCTATGTTCTGAGACAAGATATCCAGCCTTTTCAGAGATAGCAAGAACTGCCGATGCTGGAGTCAGAGACAACACCGTGTGAAGCTGGAGGAATACAGCAGGCTAGACAGCATCAGAGGAGCAGGAAAGTTGACATTTCGGGTCTGGACGCTTACTTTTCTGCTCCTCTGATGCTGCCTGGCCTGCTATATTCCTCTAGCTCCACACGGTGTTATCCAGCCTCTTCAGTGTGTTTCCTAGTTGGTATATCCTTTCATCCCAGCATCATCCTCATGACTGTTTAAGCCCTTTCTCTCATGTCTATTTATTTCATCAGATGCAGATTAAACTGCGCAAGTCCACAGTTACTGAAAAAGGACTGGACCAGAACGATAATCAGGGGATGGTCCTGGATCTACGAGAATACACTTTACCTCTGCTGGTGGGACTCCTTCTGGAGGACGACACTGCAATAGAACCTCGTGCTCCAGAGACACGTCTGTTCCCAGTGGTTCCTGCTCAAAGTTCTTCCTTAGGTCTGGACAGAACAAGAAAAAATCACAGTTGAATGTGTGCTAGACCAGAGCTTCTGACAAAACAACTAAAATAATTATCATGCAATCAAGGTGTCCCTTTATTATCGCCCAGAGACTATTTTTCACGTTTTGCGTCAGCAACAAGCCTGACTCCAGGAGCTTTGTTTGAGGTGCACAGAGGGTCACTCCGTCTTACAAGTGACATCTAGGCCTCACTGATCAACTTGCAATGGTGTCATGCTTCACTTTGTCCATCAATTCTCTTGATCAATTCAGTGTGAATGCTGCTAATACAGGCACATTGTTGAGTTTAAACAGCTGATCATAAATCATTACGTTTAAAGATGGTTATGGTTCAGGATGAGACTGGTCTTCAGGTGAAAGTGCCCGATTGGATAAAGGCTAATTACAACAGTATGAGGGCAGGAACTGGAGAAATTACACTGGGGGGCATAACTGTTTGAGGGTAAATCCACATCTGACATATAGGAATCTTTTCAAGGCCAGTTGATCAGAGTTTGGGACCGGCATGTTCCTGTGAGGACAAGGATGGCAAGATTATGGAATCTTGCACGACATGTGATATTGAAAGGTTAGTCAAAAAGAAAAAGGAAACTTACGTAAGGTTTAGGAAACTGAAATCAGACAAGGCCATTGAGGAGCATTTTATACCTTTTTAGGAGCAAGAAGCAAGCGAGGAAAAAGTAGGTCCACTCAAGGACAAAGGAGGGAATTGATGCATGAAGCCAGAGGAAGTGGATGAGGTCCATCATGAGTACTCTATCTGTATTCAGCAAGGAGAAGGACATGGATAATGGTAAGATTAGGGAGGGGCATGTGGATATTCTAGGGAAATGTTAATATTAAAGGAGGAGGTGGTATTGGGTATCTTGAAAAACATTAAGGGATATATGTCCCACGGCCTGATGGCACCTGACCCAGGATACTGAGGGAAGCAAGGGAGGAGGCAGAGGGTAGTTTTGGAGGTTCTTTTTTCTCTGGCTGAAGATCTGTGACCAGTGGGTATTCCACAAGGATCAGTACTGGGACCTCTGTTGTTTGTAATATATATATAAATGATTTGGATGAAAATGTACATGGCCTGATTAGTAGACAGCATGAAAATTGGTGGAGTTGTGAATAGTGAGGAGGGCTATCAAAAAATACAGCAGGATATAGGTCAGTTGGAAAGTTGGACGGAGAAATGGCAGATGGAGTTTAATCTGGACAAGTGTGAAGTGATGCATTTTGATAGGTCAAATGCAAGAGGAAAGTTAGCAGTAAATAGCAGGGCCTTTATTGATATACAGAGGGATCAAGGGGTGCCAGTCCATGGCCCCTGAAAGTGGCAACACAAGTGGATAAGGTGGTAAAGAAGGCGTATGGCATGCTTAGCTTCATCGGTTGGGGGATTGAGTATAAAAGTTGACAGTTATGTTGTAGATGTATAAAACTTTAGTTAGGCCTTATTTGAGTGTCCTGCACACTAGTAGTCACCACACTATAGGAAGAATATGGAGGCTATGGAGAGGGTGTGAAAAGGTTTACCAGGATGGTGCCTGGTTTGGAGTGTATTAGCTATAATAAGAGGTTGGACAAACTTGAATTGTTTTTGCTAGACTGTCAGAGGTTGATAGAAATATATAAAATTATGAGAGGCATGGACAGGATGGATAGTCAGTCACTTTCCCCAGGGTGGATATGTCAAATACTAGGGGACATAGGTTTAAAGTGAGAGAGGGAAAGATTAAAGGAAATGTGAGGAAAAGTTATTTTACACAGAGGGTGATAGGTGCCTGGAACATGGATCTGGTCAAAGCAGATACAATAGCAATGTTTAAGAGCATTTGGAGAGAAAGATGAACAGGCAGGAAATAGAGGGATATGGAGCAGGTGCCAGGGAGATGGGATTAGTTTAGAATGGCATCATGGTCAGCACAGACATGGTGGGCCAAAGGGCCTGCTCCTTATCTGTACTGTTTTATGTTCTATGAAGTTTTCTACCTGTCAGAGCAAAGTAGTTCTGAAAGAATGAAGAATCGAAAGACTTGCATTTACTTAGCACCTGCCATGATTGCAGGGTCATCCCAAAATGTTTTCAGTCAATGCAGTAATCTTGAAGTGTCCTAATTGTTTGCAGTGGTTTCTGAGCTGCACAGTTTCAGGCCCAAGTTACACCTTGAGTACAGGAACTTTGGCTGAAACACGAGTGTAGGACGGAGGGAGTGCCGCACTGTCAGAGGCACCATTTTTTGTGTTAGATATTAAACTGAGGCCTTCTGGTTGATGCAAAAGGTGCCATTGCATATTTTCGAAGAAGAAGAGAAGAGCTCTCCCCAGCGTCCACACCAATATTTAACCCTGAATGCAAATGACAAAAAAAGTTAAATTATGATCCCCTTGCTGGTGAAGGAATGTGTTGTGTGCAAACTTGACTGCCATACATTACAATAGCGACTGCATTTCAAACAAATTCACTGGCCTGCAGTAGTCACGAAAGGGGGTATATAAGTGCAACAAACATAGAGAATGCTGGAGAAACTCAGCAGATCTGGCAACACTGTGGAGAGGGAAAGCAGAGTTAATGTTTCAAGTCCAGTATATCTCTTCCTCAGAAATAAATGCAGCTGCTTGATATTCCTTTAACACTAAAGAAGTGGCAATTAATTGGCATCCCTACAGCTACCCTCTTACAACAGCAGATCCTGTTTTATTTGAGTGGTGCAATGTTGCAGAATGCGATTCTGTAGGATTTGCCCCTACACTTGAATCCCACTTTTTTTTTAATGGTTTTGAATTTATCGTCAATGCTGGAAGGAGCAACTGAAATAAATAGACTGGAAAAAGTTGTTCAATCTCGCAGCAGTGAAAGATAAATGGATCACCTTTGAAGATGTTATGCTGAGTTTGCAGCACTGGATAAGATACACTCTCCAAATGACAAGATCAGACCAGACTCACAAGATGATAAGCAGATCAGAAAACTGATTAAAATTGAGATAACGAGGGGGAAAAATAGCCCTTACAATCCCTGAAAGGAAAAGGAATGGTGTGAGCAATGGGTTAAAGGCAAGAAGTTACAGGAACACATTAAAAGGATCATTGGAAAGGTTAGGACAGTGAGAAAAGCAGCAGAGGTTGAACAGAACAGTGAGTCATAATCAGCAAAAATGTAGTCAGACAAAGGTGAAAACCAGAAAAGAAAGAAATTGTCTGTAACTGAGGACAAGCAGAAAATGGTAAATATTCTAAATGAATTCTCCATTCAAGTATTCACAGGGGAAGCTATACCCTCTTCTAGCAAAGTATAATCAATGAGCTGTTATACAAGAGATGGAAATCTGAGACAGGTGGATCAATCTTAAAACAGATAAACCCCCTGGGACAGATGATATTTATCCCAGAGTGCTGAAAAGACTAGAGGGTCAATTTGCAAAACACTAACAGTCATTATGAGGCAAGCAGATGACAGCAGGGAGGATTGGTTAGAGGTTAAAGCGGCATTTGCAGTCAAAAGGGGCAACAAGACAGAGACAAGAGACTCCAGGCCTGTTTAATTTGTCTTCACTCCCATGTTAAACAGTGAAATCGCACATCAGGTGGAACCACGAGGATTCTCTGTACAGTAACATCAATGGAGAAAGGTGTACTTTGACTAACTGTTTGCTGAGTTTGAGGAAGTGACAATAAGCCAAATAGGGAGTCTACGAATGAGGTGTACCTCCGATTACAGAAGGTTTTGTTCTGACAAAGTTGCACATGAAAGACTGTTACTTAAAATCTAAGCTGTGAGGATTCAGTGTAAACTCTAGGAATGGGTAAAAATAAACTGGCTGAAGGTTAGGAAACAACAAGTTATCTTTAGTGGTGTTACATACAAGGACTTCATGACTTGCATGGAATTTACATTAAAACTGTAGCCCAGCAACATTGTGTGGAGATATCCAACTGCATTCCACCAAGGAGTTAACATCTCAGGATATTTACGATAGGAGAGAATATTGGCAAAAGAACAGCAGAGGAAACCAAGAATACTGCAGTCTCTTTCTGCTCAAACCATGTGAACAGTTCCTCTCGCTGAGATCCTTGGCAGAATCGGGGGAAACCACCATGAAACGACCACATTAATAACATCAGTCCAAACATCTCCCCTTGAAAGGACAGAGAATCAGAGTGTGCTGTGAGAGTGAGGTGAGAAGAGAGAGAGGGAGCAGTGTCTTTGATCACAGTCAGTTTTGAAACACAAACTTCCAAATGTTGGCTCTCCCTTTTAAGATTTAGCCAGTGAACTACACTGTTCAGACAAAAAATTGAAAACGAAATCGGCTGTGTATCCCACAGTCTGTCTTGTACACTCTCAACAACTGCAAAAACTAACATTTTTGCTTCAAAAGGGAGAGGGGAATAAAGGGGAAAGGGGGAAAAGTAGGGGAAGAGGCAAGTTGGGTGGGAGGAAACTCATGTGGAAGTGAACACCAGGTATAGACCTGATGGGCTGAATGGCCTGTATGCTATGTGATGCATTTGTACAGTGCCTGATATCAGACTGTTAAGGAAAGCCAAAAGCACACAATCTCCTTCCAATGGCTTCCTATTGATGGTAATTGCACACTTCACCCAAGTGGCCATCCGCTGTGACTGGGCAAAGTCAGTGGGTAATTAGATTACAAGTATCATCACTGCTGGGTCCGATCCTTACCCTTACACCTAACTTTGCAGAGCTGTACATTCTGGAAAGACGTAATGGGTAGAAACGCTGTAATGACTTGAACCTGGGCCAGCTGGATCTCATTGACTATGAGATCCTTGATTGAGGTTGTTAGCCTGGGCCAATCAGGGAACCCTGGCTGACAGGTATAAGGAGGAGATTGCCCACCAATGCTCTCAATGCCTTTCGGAGGGGGTGGGCACCACTGGGGGGATGGAAAGCTTTATTTCACCCTCCAACTTTGATTTAATCCCTACCCCCCTCCTTCAGTTTTTGTCACATAAGCATCACCCT